ATATATTTTTGGGCTGCCATTTTTACCTCCCTCAGAAATCGAAGAATCTTTCATATATGATTTAATGACTATTCAACCAAAGGATTCAAAAATTGAAAAGTTTTCCGACTACTTATTGGACAACTACATTGGCGACCACGCAACATTTCCGTCGGAGATGTGGGCTGCGATGAGTGAGAGTTTACAATTAACAACTAATGCTTGTGAATCGTTCCACTCGCGTTTTAATGATAATTTTTACCATGCTCGTCCAAATATTTTCCATTTTATTGATGTTTTAAAAAATTTTCAAACTGAAACTTACATTAAAATTAATAGTGTCAAACTCATAGATACATGAGTATCAAACTAACTGTATCGATCGATTCCATTTCGTAAAATGTACGTCGTATTTATTTCAAAGTGACAAATAAACCTTATCAAGCTTAATCTCTAGAATTTTATTACCTGACTTTCCATTTACATTTCAATTACATCCAGCGTCCAAATCATCTATGCACAAACAGGTAATTTTATTTTTCAGTGTCGAATTTTAAATTTAGCGTCCAAATCATGCACGCCCTCCAGTATTATGTTATATCCTAATCCTTATCTCAGTTCTTTATTATAGTTTGGCTTCTCCTGTTGCTACACATATTGTTTCATCTTGTAACTGTTGTTTTTATTTCTCGTATTTTTTGTTGAGTTTGATTCCATTCTTGAAGCCACCACCGTTCTTTCAATGTTGAGTTAATCCTGTTAAGTTTCTGTTAACTCTTCCTTACAGATTTGGCGTCAGGATCTATTCTTTGCAATGACATTCTTTTGCTGAAGTTGGAACAAATGGTTTTATATCAATCTATCCTCAATACTCTTTAACTAAGTATAATAATAATATATAGCCATTATATAGTGTCTCGAAATAGTCTAGCAACAAAGTGTTTTCTTTGAAACAAATATATTGATGTACATTATTTATACAATTGCGAGATGTTACATTGTCTTTTGCATCCATTAGAAGATATTTTAATTTTATCCGATGTTAACGTGTCGTGTATTGCCACCATCATGTGCTTTGTTTGGTAGCACGATACGGTGTACTATGAGTATATTAATGGTTGAGAAAAAACCCAACGGAAAAAGTGGACGGGTAAAAACAACTCCTGTGGTTCCGTGCTTTCATCTTGAAATTACGGTAATATCGCAATTTCCAATTTGCGGTAATATCGTAGTTTAATTGTGGTAAATAATTGGTATGCGGATAGGAAATAGTTACGATGGGATTGAAGGTGTTTCCTTGTGACATTGCTATTTAAATTGCTATAAAATAATCTAAATCATCTTGATTTATCAGTTTTCTGTACATATCTTCGTTCAAGGTCCACGATTCTACAACATATAAAAGATAACAGAAGACGTAGCATCGCAGCATTCCTTCTTTTGTATCAACAGAGAGGTTGTGACTCTTAAAGAAAGCCCCCATTAGATTGAAGGTGGATCTAGCTTTTCCGATGTGTGCTCTAATCTCCTGGTTGTTGGTTCATTCTTCATTTATTGTGGTGCCGAGCTAGTTGTAGTGCGTCACTCTTTCTACAGGGGATTGTTGACTGTAATACGTGATTTTGTTCATAAAAACTTGTAGGTCTTCTCAGTTGTCCGCAAATATTATGGTGACATCTGCATATCTGATGTTGTTTAGCCGGTAATCATTTAGTAGAATACCTTTTTCAGTTTCGTGCAAAGCTTCGATAAATATTCTTTCAGAGTAGAGATTGAAGATTAGACGAGATAAAATACAGACTTGCCTCACTCCATGCATGATTTTCAAATAGTCAATGTGTTCACCTTCAACTTTGAGATTTGCAGTCTGATTCCAGTAAAGATTTATAACTATTTTCAGATCTTCGTTGGTAATTCCTGCTTCTTTTAGTATTTGCATCATATTGGCGTGCTGTACTCGATCAAATGCTTTCTCGTAATCAACCAGACATGCGTATACGTCTCTGAATTTCTGGAATAAGACTTGTACTAAGATCAAAGCCTCCTTAGTACCAACAGTATTTGTGAATCCGAACTGGTTGGGGGAACTTTAACTTTCACAGAGCTTGCAGATTCTCTTATGAATTATCTTTAGGAACAATTTTAGATGACTCATGAGGTAAATAGTACGGTAATCTTCGCATTTTTTGGCTCCTGGTTTTTGGAAGTGTAATAAACTCAGATTTCAGCCATTCTGTTGGTATTTCTTCAGAGTTGTATATGTTGTTTAATATCTTTGCGATTATTGCTATTGATTCGTTGTTCATTAGTTTGAGTAGTTCTGCTTGTATGTTATCAGGGCCTGCCGCTTTGCCATCCTTTAACTGTGTTATTGAAGAATAAACTTCCTGCTGTAATATGCTTGGTCCATCATTTACCTCTTCTTCTAGCTCAAAGGTGTTACCTCTTTGGCCTTTAAATAGTTTTTCTAGATATTCTGTCCATGTTCTTATTTTACTCTGTTTGTCTAAGATGATGTTTCTATCAGAATCAGTTATATTTCCTTTTTGCCTTCGTCTTGGTCCCCTGTGAGTTCTTTAACTTTCCTATGTACATTTTGACTATCGTAGGGTAAAGTGGGGTAAGATGACGAATCGGGTAAGATGACGAATTCCCGATATTTTTCCAACGTACAACTCTGGCAACACTGTCTTCAGTCAGGACCGAACAGATATTCTAAGGTTTCTCGCCTTTGACTACAAATACGTTAGCGGCCAGAGTTTAGTATGATACAAGTGTTGGTACTGATATTGTGTTAGTGCTAACATTATTATTGTTTTCGAAAATAAGGTTTTAAAGGTTTTTGGTAAGTATTGGATAACTGTTGTATTGTTTGTTCGAAACTAATATCTTTTATGTATAAATTACTTACAGAAAATATTTGTTATGAATAATAAATTTGACTTTACGATTTTTAGAAAGAAAGATGACACTTGTGGGTAAGATGACGAGTTATTCGTCATCTTACCCGAATTAACTAAAATTAACAGTACGTCATACCTACTTTCAATTTCAGATTTAAATATGGGCAAAATATACAAAAGAAAGACATACAAAAAAAAGAGCAATGGCTTAAATAACTGCTCATCAGGTAAGTGCCAATGCAGCCTCAAAAGCATATATTCCAGAACCTACTAATTAACCACATAATCAGTTTAGAAAAATTGCTTTCGACTTTGCCGTTCATTGTGGTGTTGCTGGTAGATTTAACACTACAAAGAAAATGGTTGGTAAAGACTTTGCACAATCCTTTTGCAGCATACTCACGAGCTTGCGAAGATTTTTTGATCAGTAATCCGGATCATCTTATAACATTGTATGACATTGCAACCCTATTTGGGAAAGCATACTCAAAAGCAGCAACTGTTTCAAATACTCTTAGTGGTTTTAGAGCCACTGGCATATATCCTGTTGCAAGCCAGGTGTTTGATATACTTGATTTTGAGACATCTTTGGCAATAGTGTGGCAACTACCTCTGCTTTGGAAAATGTAAAGGTCGAAGAATATTTAAGGACTGTCACAGATATCTGTTTTAAAAGAAACAGTACCTCAAGAATCTGTTGAAATATCCGACGAAATTTTAGATATTTCTATTCCAAATATGCCTGTTCCATCTACATCAGGAATAGCTGGTCGGACACCCCCTCATGTATCAAATCATATATTGAATAATGGTCTGCCTAAATTACTTGTTGCTGAAGTGAGCAAAACGACCCAGAAAAAAATTACCATCTCTCGTTATTTCCAGTACACCAATAGTAAAGATTTTAGAAGAAATGGAAGCTCCAAATTAGCAAAAGAGAGGAAAAGGGATATAACAGAACAGAAGAAAATTGGAAAAGAAATAGAAGCAAAGACTTTTAAAAAATAGGAAATTCACTCTCGATAAAGGCAAAGGAAAAATACTAAGAGAAAAATAAAATTTGGCGACTAGTCTAACTCGTCAGTAGATATGGAATATGCTGACACTGATAACGATTCAGAGGAAGAAAGAGATTGCATAATCTGCAATGAAAGAGGAAAATATGAGCTATGGTATTGCTGCAGCAGGTATAGGGAATGGGCTCACGATGAATGCACTGGATAGATAAATTTTAAAATTTTAATTTGAAATATTAACCCTTACGTAATCTAATTTTAATATGTAAAGTACTACTATCAGCCAATTACCTTGTAGTTGCATGCATTCGATACAAGGAAAAATATCAGTTCTAGGATTTTTTTTAAGCCTACTATCGTCATCTTGCCCTCCTTTCCCCTACTTTAAACTGCAGAGTCTCAATTACTTCGCATGTTTCCCTTAATTCTTTTTTTTTTTCGCTTCTCTGGTTTTCGTTTGTAAGTTTTACTAGTCAAAATATATTTTACATGGTATAAAATAGCTATACCCTTATTTTCCATATAAAAATAGTTTTATAAAATTATGAGCATACCTCTCAATAACAACGGTGTATTAAAAAGTTATAAGACTACAGGATTATTAGGACGCTGAATATATTATGATGCGAAAATTAATAGAATGCAATAAGTAGGGCGCTATACAGACAAAACTGAATACATGTTTATCTGCGGAGAACAGCAAAACATAGTACTTGAAGAATATCAACAAGAAATAAAACAATGTACGGAATACAAATATCTGAGCATGTAGGATATTACAAATAATGGATGAAGCTATTAAAACAAGGAAACAACGAAAGAAGAATAGCAATAAAAGAGTGTAATCGTATTGTGGGATATAAATATTGGTTATGTATAAAAAATATTGCTAAAAGAAACAACAACGTTAAGAAGTTTTATTATTTCATTTGGCTAATCAATGAAGAACTGTACCTTGCTAAAAATTAGTTCTAGAGCCTTCTACAGTAGACAAAAAGGTAATTATTTTTTCTTCCTATTTAGTATACCATTGCATATACCTAAAACCGCTTAGAATTCTGCTTGTAAAACTGCAGATAACTGCTTATAAAATAAAACAAAGTTACATACAAACTTTTATTCATTTCATCAGTTTACAAAAGTTTTAATACAAAATCTCATCTAACTTCTTTTGCCTATTTTTCTATTTTTTGTAAATGGGATTATTCCCACCAGAAGACCGGATACTATGATCCATATGCATGCCTGATAGAAGGATTGATCCCAGGAACCAGTTAAATCAAAGAGCCATCCTAAAACAAAAAGAACAATAAAGTAAGATAAGTATACGTTTGTATATACATACTGTAATATAGCAAATTGTCATGATTTCATACATAATCACTCCCTGAAGCTTATTGCACTTATTTATTAACACGCTGTATATAACAAATATTTTTATTATTCACGTTACTCTTTGTCTATTATTCATTAATTTGGAGGTCTTCTCTTTATGAAATAAATGTTGTTATTCATCATGACCTAATTAAATTCGTAAAAATTACTGTATTGTATATGCTCCTCACTCAATTAATTCAATCAGTTTTTCAAGTATAATTAATTCAACGTCAATCTCCTGCTTATATTATGATCAATATTTGTCACTAATTTTCTATTTGTTCTGGTTATTAAGTTTGTGAAAAATGTGTGAAAAAAAAACATGCTAATTGAAGCCCGTGGTTGTTTCTTCCTGTTTACAACACTCATATCTACAGCTTTAATTTTATATTACAAAAAATCACCTGAATATGATCGATCTATGCAAATATAAGTATGCACGACCTTAGAATTTATTTTTCCTAATTTGTTTTTTTTTCTTCATAACTGTGACGTTAAGTCATACTGTTTTATTTTGTTTTTTGGTAATTTGTAGCTGTTTCAATCACCGTTATACGTTTGATATTCACTATGAATTCATAAACAAATGGACAAATATTTTAAAGCGGTTCTCAAACTGTTTTCTTGTGACGTTTTTAATTGAAATATTATTTTATATGAGATTAATATTGGTATGACCCAAGATAGAAACTTATGGGGAAATGTAATCAGGGAAGCCGTATAGAGATAAAGACAAAGAGAATGTTAATGAAATGATTGTCATATATTTAATATACAGTGCGTGTGTTAAGTATGGAAGCATAAATATATCTGACACCGCTTATGATATAGTAACAAAATATGGGTTATGTATATAAGAGCAGCGATTTAAAATTTTATATTTTCAACGTTGCCAAATCTACAGTTTCTGAGATACACGGAAAATATGCGTATTTTTAAATAGGGCCACCCATACAGGGTGGTGAATCGTCAAACGGGCCATAGGAAATTCAATGGGAAATTCTGAATTGTTGAATTCCTGCTTCCCTAATTATTTTACATCAAAAGCCATAAGAAACTTTGTAGAGGACTGAAATATGTATTAAAAACAAATGTTAAAATTATTCTACGGATTAAATGTATTCCAAAATTTTGTAAAAATGTAATACATTTTTCAGGCCACCCCTTAAATTCAGGCCACACGAGGTACAAGAATGTGTATGATATGTTGCGTTTGGTCATATTTATGTTTCTGATATTTGACAATATTTGAATTGTCAATATTTTTATTTTGTGATTAAATTATACACAAATATAATAATAAAGAATTTCTGTCCATTATTGATGCTGCTGCAGCTATTGGTCCAACTGAAAGATGCAAATGATCATTTGGGTTTCCTCTTGAACACAGAACACGTTGCAACTATCGCATTTTTGGCGGATATCTTCAGACATCTGAACTTCTTTAATTTAAAACTATTATGCAAGGGAAAACTTGTTTGTGAACTTTCTGGACATTAGAAGTTTTTCTAAAAAGATTGAACATTTTTCTGAGGATATTAAGGCAGAACTTTTGCATTATCCTCTCCATAAATCTGTTTCGAGATAGTAATAAAGGTATACATAGTTCTCACGTTTTATTATTAAACTTGATTTGGAATATAAAACGATTTGCTGATTTGCACAAAATTGAAAATGTTGTGCAACTGTTAAGCAACCGTTTTTCACTCAAGCCTAATGGTGTATGTACCAGCGAAGTAGCAGACATATTACTCCGCAAAAATGTATTAAACAAAGACGGGAGAAAAACAATATAATAGCTTTATAATCATCTTTTTCCTTGAGTTTATTTTATACCTCTCCTTAAGTTGCCTGATTTCAACTACGTAACCAGGATGACCTCCAGAGGGGAGGTTACAACCAATGACGTATAATAGACTAAGCACTCCCGTATTCTCGCTATATAATCGGGTGTCCGAAATATATCCGCTCAAGATTGAAGGTATGTTTACCAGAACGGCGGCGTGCTCATCTATATTTTAATGACAATAATTATTTTTTTTAATTAAAATTAAATATTTATGATTTAATTTCTCTCTCAACAATTCGAACTCTCAACAATTTAAAATAAAATTTGCTTGTCACATAAAATATGTAAACACACACAATGGCGAAAATGTTTTCAAACACAAGATCAACTTCGTGATGCTTCGTAAGAAATCATGTACTTCGTGCATCTTCGTATCAAAACAATAAACAATAACAAAGATATTCATGTTGTGGACAATTTTTAAAGCGTTCACCGAGTCTATATATTATACGTCATTGGTTACAACTACTGGACGATTTCTGGGAACGCCCCCCCCCCCCCGGTTACGCTACTGCCTGGTTTAGTGCTGAGTGTCCAGACCACGGAAGTGTAGTAGGTTTTCGAAACGGACCCTTAGAGAATATAATTGGTAACGCCTGTTTTATGATATTGTTATGAGATTTTTCCATTTACTTTACTAGAAAACAAATTACTACAAAATAATTAATTAAATGTGGCATATGTTTCCTGTTGATTTCGTTTGTTTCAGTATAAAAATAAAATACTGATTAAAGAAAATGATATTACCTGCCAAGGGTGGTCCTATAAGATTTCCAACTCCTTGTGACAGTAATAGGAGTCCGTATGCCATGGTAAAATCATCTAATGATACTAATTCTGCTAATAACGAAGGAGTAAGGCACATCGAACTGGCAAAAAATAGACCAAAACATCCTCCTGCTACTAATAACAAATAATAGTTAAATGTTACTAAAATCATACAGCCGATGCTTACGCCACAAAGAACTAAGCAAATTGCATATGATTTTGCAATATTTAGTCTATTTCCAACAACTCCAAGGAGTACCTAAAATATAAGAAACTTTTTTAAACATATTTATAATCCGACAAGCGAGAGCTGGCGGGTGAGTTGGGCGAAAATAGAAAAGGAATTATTCTAAGACAGATAGGAGAGGTACTTAATCGCGATTATAGGTATATAGTATAAGTACTTAAACGGTTATACACGATGTGAACTCCTAGCCGACTGCAATAGAAATGAGCAATTCCTTCCACTTTTCAATTTGTTCGACGCGCAACCCGCCAGCTCTCGCTTGTCGGGTTATACTCGTGTTATTATAAAGAAAGTACTGTTTGTTTAATTGTTACTTAAATTACTAAACTCATTTGTGTAAAGTCAATTTAAACATACCTATCATTTACTACCATAACTAGAAATTATACAGGGTGTCCCATAATTAATTGTACATTAGCTAATGGGTGATAGCTGACATCAAAATAAAGCGTTTGACCTCAAATTGCTTAGGCAAAATGCTGCTAGTTTTCGTTCTACAGGGTGATTCATTAATATTTGTTTATATTATTTTTAGGGATATATTGAAAAGTATTTAACCGATTTAAGTGAAATTTGGTATCTTGCTATTATTTAGTATGCTTAATATGAAAATGAAATTAGTTTTATCATTGACACTAGGTGGAGCCACCTACTGTAACATTGGTTCATTAATGTGGTCATAATTTTTTGTCTGCCCTGTATAAACATTCTAGGGAAAAAAACATGAAATAACATTAAATTTTACACAAAAAAGGTATTCTTGTTTCAAATCAAAAAAATACACCGTTTTCGAAAAAAAAGTATTTTATTTCGAAAACGGTGGTTTATATCAGTGGAATACTGATGTTAAAAATGATGTTCTTGAAATGCATGAGAATTTTCTGTCTCATAGGTATGGCTATCTGTCTCATAGGTTTTATCATAGGTATGGCTATGAAGCCAGTTAAACATACCTCTTCTAGTAAATGTGGCTTCATCGGTAAATAAAATTTTATTTTATTTATAAAACACTGGATCGTCTAAATGCCGCCCTATCATAAACTGACTAAATCGAAGCCTTGCTGGAAAATCGTGTGGTAAAAGATTCTGTACTGGAGTAAAACGATACGGATACATATTTTTTGTCCGTATTATTCTTGACACCGTAGATTTGCTTATACCAGTGGTTTGGTTGCCTTCCTTTGGGACAAAGTTCGAAATAGCGTTGAGCTGCTTTACGGGAACAAAAATTTTCCTGGGCATACAAACAGGTCACATTGCGCTTTTCTACATTAGAAAATTTACTATGGCGAGATTTACTGTTGCTTCATTGCAATCACATTAACAAAATACGTTTATTTCGAAAACGGTGTACTTTTTTGATTTGAAACAAGAATAACTTTTTTTTGTGTAGAATTTAATGTTATTTCAGGTTTTTTTTTATAATATATAAAAATATTAATGAATCACCCTTTAGAACGAAAACTAGCAACATTTTGCCTAAGCAATTTGAGCTCAAACGTTTTATTTTGATGTCAGCTATCACCCATTAGCTAATGTATAAATTAATTATGGGACACCCTGTATATTAGATAATGATCCCGTACACACTATTACATAATAAATACATGTAAAACATGTGTCCAACGATAAAAACTAAGGACATATCATAAAAATACTTACCATTCCAATTGTATTCGTAATACCAATAACAGAAATTGCAAATGCAGCTTCATTGTCACTGTATCCGTGGCGCGTCATATGTTCGGCCAAATAATAATATGGTACCACGTACCACATATCAACTATTACTGTAGACAATGACAATATGAAGAAATGTAAATCCAAGAAGAGGGAAAAATTAGTCAAGTCTTTCAAAATATCCAAAAACTCGTCGTACCAATTCTGAAATACTATTTAAATAGTCTCAGATCAGATATAGGCTCCAGTAACTAATGGGTGAATAAATAATTTCATACGTATAAGACAAACAATTCGAAAAATCATTATAATACTTTTTTATTTTTCGCTAATCGTGCCTTCATGGCACACATTTGCCTTGACCAGATCAATGCTAGCAGTATCGTTTGGTCTTCCAGGACAGTAAACAAAAATTCTTTTTCAACGAGAAGGAAAGGTCTGAGTCCCAAGCTGCAGCGGCCTGGGAGGCAGTGGCGCACCTAGAATTTTTCTGTGGGGGGAGGTTTTGGTTGGGTAAAGAAAATTTTTTATGCTACCTCTGCCATGTTAAGTCTTTAAAATTTGTGAGCCACTGGGTGCGCCACTGAGGCTGCTGGGAGGGACTGTATCTGGTCACTAATGCCGGGTCCAGACCAAGCAGACAAAACAAAAACATTCATGTTTCGCGACAAAGTTGCGACAAATCGAAAACATTTGTTGAGACATTTCTGAAACAATTTTGTTTTGTTTGCAGATTTGAAAACTTTTTCAGGTCCGTCTCAGGTCGGTAAAGATCAAAAGGTCTGTGTTTTGTCTGTGTTTTTGACGACAAGTTGTCGACGCAGTGTGGACGCGTGTGCGTGCCAAAACGAGTTAAGCAGTAGGAGAAATAGAATGTACAATTTTTATCAAAATCAAGTGTATTTTTCTGTTGTGTAGTGATTAAATAAATACTAGTGTATTTTTCTAAACATGTCGGGGGACAAAAAGTGGAATACACAAAATACATGCAAGTTAATAGAACTTTACAAGGAGCATCCGATATTATGGGACCCTAAAAATAAAGATTATAAAAATCGCTACAAGAAAGCCGATGCATTAAAGGAAATTTCTTTATCGCTAAATGTGCCACTAAATGATGTTGAAAAGAAAATAAAGAATGTTAACAACCAGTATGCTAGAGAAAGACGAAACTACAAGAAACTTAAAAAATCTGGGGCTGGGAAACTTTTCAGTTCAAAATGGTTTGGTTATGTCGCATTTTTAGGCTTGGTCTAATCCAAAAACGTTTGGGTTTTCGTTTAGCAACCTGGGATGATGATGAGAGCAAAAAAAACAACTTGCGGATAGCAATAAATCTTCAGTTTCATTTTTTTCTTGATTAAAACGCCCCATGGTTAACCAACACTAATCACAACAACAACGTCACCAACTGAATTTTGTTTTTATATTTTGTTGTTCTGGTGTGGACAGTTTGTCTCAATTTTGTTTTGTCTTTTGACGACAAATTTTGTCGCCGGTTTATCGTGTTTTTGTTTCAGAATTGTGTTTTCGTTTTGTCTGCTTGGTCTGGACCCGGCATAAGAAGATCAACAACCTTGTATATGGAGTGTAATTCGCCCCACCTAGTAAGCTAAAGTAAAAAGTCAAATAGCTAAAGCAGTAATAGGATTTACGCCTATATCAGACAGAGTTGTGCTATTGAAAATTAACTCAAGTCTTAATTAACTCAGAATAACATAATTAACTCAGAATCCACTGAAGAAGAAATAGAAAATTTCTATCAGACTCTAGAAAACTGAACTGATCAAAAAACATGAACAAGAAGACAAAATCTCAACGTTTAGAAGAAGTAAGCCGAAGATCATCCTCCTGTGTTCTTATTTATAAGAGCAGAATACTTCGACCTGGTCCATTTAGGTACTGTTCGGGCGAACAGCTGATCTCCGATAAAAAGATGACCTTCCGTTCCCGTTATATAAGCCAGCAGGGGCGGGTTCTGAGATTAGCATTGAGGATTCTAATTAGTAACTGTGATATGTGAATTTTTGAGCTAAATAAAGTTAGTAACAATATTATTGTATTTTTAATCATTTTTCGAAGTTGCAAAATATATTTCTTGATAAAAAACCATAATCAAAATAAACCATTATTTACTAGTGCCCATCAAGTAATACCAGAAGAATAAAATTAATATACTGTACCTCATCTTCTCTAAATAAAGTCGCCATCGAATTTTTATATATATCTGGACAGCTTGAAGCTTTAACTTTGTATTTATGGATATTTAACATCGCTCCTCTGTAACCGATAGAGTTTTTCCTAAACCTAACATTTTTTAAATAAGACTGTGGTTGAATCTGAGTTTTAGCTTTAACAGACAAACTTCTAAGAAGTTGCGTAGCCTTGTTTGCCGTAGGTGAAATAACCACAGCTTCCGTTTTAGTATCTGTAGATTTAGGTGCTTCATTTGCAGGTTTTACATGGTCAGATAAATTTTTTGAAGGTCGTTCTAAAAGTGGCGTACTCGTTTCAGGCTTGCTGGGGTCATTTTCTTCGGGAATTTTTACTTTCATGGACAATCTTACGGGAACTCTAGATGTATGTCGATTTGCCGCGTGAGTAATATTTAATTCTCTGTCTGACGAGCTGCGACCTGCTAATAAATTTGGATAATTGTCTACAATAATACTGTAAATTTGTTTATTTTCACTTAAATGCTTTAATACTTCTAACGGAACCTAAAAATAGAAAATATATTATTGTTAACAACATACTTATCTAAATGTAAATTGGATATGAAGAGTCCGGAGGAAAAACAATCTCATGTGACTCATAACTTAGCGACATGTGAATGTATAGGTAAAACAATTAAAGGCAATACTTACTTTTTCGTTTTCTCTAACGAACGTAGGTAAGTCAACAACTGAATTAAATCTATCCTTATCGCTTAAATCTAACGTAGCGTCGACGTCTTGAAGCAAATATTGTGCGTCGCCTCCTTCTTCAAGAACATGTTTGATTTCTTCAAGACATTCTGTATCAATAGAAGAAGCGCTCGACTTTTTTCTTCTCTCTTTCTTTAGCTTCTTCTCTTCCCTTCTACAAAAAAATATTTCATTATACCATCGTGATTTAGTTAAATAGTAAATAGTAACACTGCGGAAAACAATTAAGTATATTTAAAATCCACAAGAAAACTAAGTTCCTGTAGCTGTTGGTATCATGTTGGTACCATTGTATAAATACATACAAAAGGAGTAAGAACTATAGAAGGATAAAGTTAATATTGAAATAATGAAAATTTGATAGAAAACTGTAGAGCGAAGGTTAAGAAGAGATACATCAATAGGAGAACAGTTGACCGAACGTTTTCCAGTGAAGGTCGATTTGCATTGAGGCTTTTCACTGAGTCCCTTCCTGTATATTCTTGTAATGAATGTAATGTCAGAGAAAGTAAGGGAGGGGGCTCTTTGATCAATGCTCAATGCGGATGATATCGTGTTGGTGGAGGAGAGCAAAGAAATGTTGGAGAATCAGTTGGAGTGCTGGAGAAGGACTATTGAAGAAGGAGAACTTCAAGTTAGCAGGTCAAAAACGGAGAATATATGGTTGGGAAAAATAAGAAGCTTATGAGGTCAAGAATTTGTGCTTCATACAAGGATTTCTTTTCCCATTTATGTTCAAAAATTAAGTTTCTGTATTATTTTCTTTGACCTTTCTCAAGTTCTCGTGTATTTTAAATTTCGTTTCTTGGTAGTGGGGCCCCTCACAGTATTTAGTTTTACTCTCATCGACAAAACAACGGGGTTGTGGTGGAAGGATATGTCTGCTCCTGGATAAGTTTTGCTTGGTATTATAGAATAAATATCTTCTGTTGACGGGAATATAATCTAGTTGATTGCTAACTATTTTATTGTTAACTATTTATATTATTGAAACTATATTTAATATTCTCCTTGATATATGTTTTGCTACTCAGCATGTAGTCTATTTCGTTATGGATTCTTCGGTTTGAATCATTCCTGTTGATTTTCTTAGTGTTTTTCTTATAAAATGTGTTCCAAGCATATTATTTGGTGCTTTTTAAGACGGACTCATCTATTTAATCATTGAGGTGTGCTATGCTTGGTGCGTAGACTTTTTTTTTATTTAATTAGATGGCTTTGGTAAAGACCAATTAGCCAGACGATTTTTTTTAACCATAATAATTAAAAAAAGAACTTAAAAGAAAACTCATCCTTCTTCACAATAACAATGCTTAAAGTATTAGTAGTGTAAAAGTTAAGTGTGCGCAATGTATGTTTTGTTTTTTTTTAATCTTTTTTTTGCTTTCAAATGTTTTTTTTTGTGTAGAATTTAGTAGACTTAAGATTTGGTTGCTGGAATGTTATAACTCTGTATGAGATGTCTAAACTAGCTCAAGCAGTAAAAGAGTTAAATAGGTACAAATTAAGCTTTATCGGTCTATCGGAAGTAACATGGTTTGGCAATGGTGAAGACCATACCCAAACAGGAGAACTCCTATTATACAGTGGTAAAGAAAATGGGAGCCACGAGAGCGGAGTGGGTCTTTTACTCAGCAAACAAGCAAAAAAAACTCTTTTTCATGGAAACCCATTAATGATAGAATTATGACTATCAGATTTTATACCAGATACCGTAAGATAACAGTGATTCAATGATATGTTCCCACAAACACATCTCTCCACGAAGAAAAAGACATTTTCTACGAACAACTAGAACAAACAACGCAACAAGTAAACCAAGGTGATATACTAATAGTGATGGGTGATATAAACGCTAAAGTTGGAGAAGACAATATTAACTTAGAAACCGTAATGGGCAAACATAGCCTAGGAATGATGAATGAAAACGGAGAGCGCTTTACAAATTTTTGTTCCAGTCATAGTTTAGTTATTGGTGGAACGATCTTTCCACATAAAAATATTCACAAGGTAACATGGACTGCACCTGGTCATACAAGAGAAAATCAAATAGACCACATCGCTATATCAAAAAGATGGAGTCATCTCTTCTTGATGTACGTAATAAAACGGTCCCAGGAAGACATATGTTTAGAGAGGAACTTTAACTCAAAACAAGAGAACGTGAAATAAATAGCTGGGAAGATGTTTTGACAGAAATAGCTGAAGACAAACTGGGTAACAAAGAGAAAGATAGAAAGAAATGGATATTAGATGAAACATGGAATCTTATCGAGGAAAGAAAACAACGAAAAAAAGATATCCTTTAAGCAAGAACTGTAGAAAGAAGAGCACATCGACAACAGGAATATCAAACAATAAATAAATCAGTTAAAAGAAAAACAAGAAGAGACAAAAGAAGGTGGCCCGAAGAACTGGCAAAACAAGCAGAAACAGCTGCACAACACAACAGAATTAAGGAACTTTACCAAATTACTAGACGACTAACAAACAATGGGTCCAACTGTTCGAACATTGTAAGATCCAAGACAGGCGAATTACTTACTACAACAGATGACCAAGTAGAGAGATGGAAATAGCATTTTCAGGAGATGCTAGATATTCCCAGAGATAACGCAGATGAAATTGTCGAAAACCCGCAGAATACAGACTTGCATATTTCTTGCGAGGCCCCTTCCAAAACGGAGATAATAACAGCTATCAAATCTCTGAGAAACAACAAGTCACCGGGAATCGATAACATTGCTGCTGAAATACTTAAAGCTGATCCGCATCTAACTGCTGAACTTTTGCTGCCCATAATCCGAGAGGTGTGGGAAAAAAACCACATTCCAGCGAGCTGGAAAAAAGGTAACATTATCAAGCTTCCAAAAAAAGGCAACCTCACACTGTGCAAAAATTGGAGAGGAATAACCTTGCTTATTGTCATAAATAAAATTTTCACGACCATCATACTGAAAAGATTAACAAACAAGGTTGAGTTTCGAGCTAATCAAGCAGGCTTTAGACCAGAATCCTCCTCTGTAGACCACCTTAATACTGTGAGGGTAATAATGGAATAATCGGTTGAATGGAACACACCCCTATACATGGTTTTTGTTGATTTTGAACGTGCCTTTGATAGCTTGTCTCACGCTGCTGTATGGAAAATTTTAGAGCTAAGAAACGTCCCGTAAAGAATAATTTAAAGTCACTATATACTGATGCGAAATGCAGCGTGACACACAATGGGATCAACAGTGACGAATTCGACGTACTTACTGGAGTTAGACAGGGATGCGTGCTTTCTCCGTTTCTTTTTAACATAGCTATATACTATGTTCTCTCCAAACTAGACTCCGACACAAGAGGGATACAATGGACGTTAACCACACGCCTAAGAATACGCGGATGATATCTGCCTATTAGGTCAAAGGTTTCAAGATCTGGCTTACCAATTGGAAACACTTTCCACTGAAGCCAATAAAATAGGTTTGAAAATCAATATTAGTAAAACCAAGTCCATGAGAATAAATGCAAGGAACAACACGCTATTTACTATCGACAATATGCAGATTGAAAATGTGGAAAACTTTACGTATCTTGGAAGTGTCATAACAGAAAACGGAGGTACAGAAGACGATATTCGTATGAGGATACGAAAAGCTCAACAAGCTTTCAGCACGCTCAACCCTGTTTGGAGACTTGGAGAGTATACTACAAGGACAAAATCCGAATATTCCGATCAAATGTCATGTCTGTTCTACTCTACGGATGTGAAACCTGGAAAGTGACAAACACCCTCACAGACAAACTGCAGGTCTTTGTTAACAAATGTCTACGAAGAATTGGTCGTATATTCTTGCCTAACACCATCAGAAACGAAGATCTGCTACACCTGATCGAATAAAAGATGGTACCTACAAACTGAAATTAAGTCCAGAAAGTGGGGTTGGATCGGTCACACACTCCGAAAAAATAGTTCCAGTATCGGAAAGACTGCCCTAGAGTGGAATCCCCAAGAGAAAAGAAAAAGAGGTAGCCCAGTACAAACTTGGAGAAGATCCATCATGGACGAGATAAGAGGCCAAGGAAAGTCTTGGAATGAGGTGAAGGCCTTAGCGCAAAATAGAACCCGATGGCGCGTTTTCACTGAAGCCCTATGCTCCACTTAGGAGTTCAAGAACCTTATATATTGTCATGTTAAGCACCTTTTCTTTTTATTCCTGCAAGAACTATTATTTCCCATTTCAATAGATTTTTTCGCCTGTTTTCATGGAACTTAAATTAAATTTGTTGCTTTCAAGTAATATAGTTCATAAATGTGTGTACATGTTTTTGATCTAAAAACTATTTATTTTATTCCCTAGTTCTATTTATAATCATTCTGTTCTATTTATATTTCTCACAAGGCCTTTCCCGAAATAGTTTCTTTGAAATACCGTCAAATGATCCTTCGTCAAATTTCGATGTTGGCCTATTTCAATTAAATAATACTTAAAATTGTGATGGTACATGTATTTTTATTATTACTGGGTGTGCCAAAAAATGCGGTACGGTTATACATCGTATCGAAAAACGTAAAAAATCTTTTTCAAAAATTTTCAAAACTCTATCGAATGACACCAAATACGACCCCCTTTGGTCGGGGAAGAGGGACAAGTTTAAAATTTCAAATGGTAACCACCATTTTTTACTGCAGATTTGGTCGAATTGTTGATAGATCTTATAATCTATATAAAGCTATAATCGACGATTTATCCAGATACCTTAAGAAAATTATGGAAACAATCTAATATCGTAATACTTCAAGAAATACACTGTTAAATAAAAAATCAAAAAACACCTGTTTATTCTTTTTCAAAAATCTATTCGATAATATCAAGCATGACCTCCCACCTTACCCTCAAGGTGTGTGGCAGGTTCAAATTTGAAATCTTAAATAAAAAACTCCATTTTATATTGTATTTTCGGATTCTAAATTAAAGTTTTATCCTTAATTATATAATAATAAATAAATGCAGATCAAAAATCTGCAAACTAATTTTTATGGTAATGAATACAGTTTTTTACGTATCTAAATCTTGCAATAAAAAAAATGGGGGCTTCTAATCAGCCCCCAGACTCCAACCCCAGGCGTAGTGGGAGGAGTTCTGTTTGGTGTCAGTGAATATA